ATCTTATCACACGTAAGAGCTTATCAGTTGTTTAAACTAAGTTTAGCCAAACAGCCTCTTAGTAGCCAAGACAGTAATATTAATTAAAATATTTTTTTCTAAGAAAAAAAAAATTAAACGTCGGGGACCGACGATCAACGGTGGTCGACCGGCCAGAAAAAAATTTCAGGAAAAAAAAAGTTCAAAAGAAAAAAAAAAGAGTCAACGCCGGAGACCGGCCGAAAAAAAAATTCAGAAAAAAAAATTATTTTTTGAAAAAAAAAATATTTTGGGGTTAATGTGATATATTTGTTTAAATCCGGGGTCAATATGTAATATTAAAAAAGTTAGAGCATAATGGATGGAATTGATAAGAATTATATTATGGAGGGTATTTTAGACTAAAGACATGGGGATGAGTTTAATTGAGAGACTGTTTTTTTGTGGACCAAAATGCATTTAAGTGTCATATGATGGGCTTTTTTTCCATTCGTCCAATGAAATAACCATACAGACTTTATAAATAAATAAATAAAATAAATAAATAAATAAAACCCTATAGGAATAAACTTACAGTGTACATAAGACTCCAGCAGCAAGAATCGAAACGAAATCGTCTCCAAAATCCCTTTTGATGTACCCAAGGACAACATTTTAATCAAATTTATTTCTTCTTCCTCGATCTTTATTTTTCACCTTTGTTTATGCGGAATTTAATTCAAGGTTTCAGGAGTAGAGCCGACACTCATCGGCCGGACGGCGGGATTTTTGGCGAAAAGAAAGACATAAAAGAAATAGGAGGCTGGAATTATGATTTGACGAGATGGTAGGCCGGAAGAGAAGTTGTTTGTGGTGGTGTCGGAGATTGAAGAAGAGGAGGTGGCGTGAACGTGTACTCCGGCTGCCGCCGCCGCCAACCTTGCAGTCACGAGTTCGAGTAATTCGTTGTTTGATGGCTGTCTCCTGTCTTCGTTTGCGGTGGAGGTTTATTTGGTCGTAACACTCTGTTTTGGCAAGAAAAAAAAAAAAAAAAAAAAAAAAAAGGAGGGGCAACACTCTGTTTTGGCAAGAAAAAAAAAAAAAAAAAAAAAGGAGGGGCCCACGCGCTTGACGGAGTGCGGTGCGAAGGAGCCACCGACGGAGGAGGAGCATCCACCACTGCGGAAGTCAAATAAGAAACCACCACCACCGTAGCCGCACACTAAGTCGCGTCGGCCTCCGGGCGAACGTCCTTCTTGTAGCAGAATTGCTTTAATAAAATATAATAATATTCAATAAAATGGGAGCATCAGAGAAGAAAAATAGCTTTAACGAAAACAAAAAAATAATGATGCAAAGACACCAATGACAATCACAACATAAGAAAAACAATAACAAAACTGGCAAATTTGTTTGACCCCATGAAATTAATGCTAGGAATCAGACTAACCAATACCGATATGTAGACCGTTCATCTAAAAATCCCATTCAAATAAAACATAGAAGAAAAAAAACATTTTAAATTCGTTCATGGGAAATAAAATTGGAAAAACAAATTAACAGAGTTCGCTAGCAAATCTCCTATAATTGTTTCATTCTTATGGAAATAAAATATAAAAGGGGAGAAATGGAGTCAACAATTTATGGAGTATAAGCTTAATTAAGAGAGGCGGCGGCGGACGTTGGATGAAAGGGCAATGTGCAGTGTATATAAATTGAACCTTTCCCCTTGGACGGTGGCCAACTAGTGTGAGGGGAAGAACGTGGGAAGGGGAGAAGGGCGGATTGACGGAGTGCGGTCCAAGTAGGTGAAAAGAAAAGGGGTAAGGAAAAACCAGAAGGGGATAAATACAACCAAACGACGTCGTTTTACATGTTTGGGGGCCAAAAGAAAAGGAAAAATAAAATAATGTGGGGATAATTGAGAACATCCGCTCTTATATATATATATATATATATATATATATATATATATATATATATATATATATATATATATATATATATAGGGCAAATGGCAAAAAGGCCCATCACATGGGACTTAAATACATTTTGGTCCACAAAAAAAACAGTTTCTCAATTAAGCCCATCTCCATGTCTTTAGTCTAAAATACCCTCAATAATATAATTCTTATCAATTCCACCCATTATGATCTAACTTTCTTAATATTACACATTGACCCCGAATTTAAACAAATATATCACATTAACCCCAAAAACTTTTTTTTTTCAGAAAATAATTTTTTTTTTCTGAAATGTCCAGATTCCGGCGTTGACTTTTTTTTTCTTTTTTTTTTTTTTGAAAACTTTTTTTTTCCTGAAATTTTTTCCGGTCGGTCAACCACCGTTGACCGCCGGTCTCCGACGTTGACTTTTTTTTTTTTTTGAATTTTTTTTTCTTAGAAGAAAAAAATATTTTAATTAATAATTACTGTTTTAGCTATTAAATTACTGTCTCAGACAGTAATATTACTGTTTGGGACAGTAATATTATGAATATTATTTTTTCCGAACAGTAATATTATGAATATTATTTTTCCGAACAGTAATATTATTAATATTATTGTCTAAGACAGTTAAATTACTGTTGAAGACAGTAATTTAGCATCTAAAGCAGTACTATTAATTATAATATTTTGTTTTAAGAAAAAAAATGAAAAAAAAACAACAATTAACAGTTAAATTACTGTCTCCGGCAGTTAAATAACTGCTGGAGACAGTAATTTAGCAAACGAATACAGTAATATTAATTAAAAATATTTTTTTCAGAATAAAAAAGTTTAAATCACTGTCTCCAACAGTTAAATAACTGTTGGAGACAGTAATTTAGCAACGAATACAGTAATATTAATTAAAATATTTTTGCAGAAAAAAACAAGTGAATTAACAGCTAAATTACTGTCTCCGGCAGTTAAATAACTGCCGGAGACAGTAATTTAGCAGCCAAGACAGTAATATTAATTAAAAAAAAATTAAGAAAAAACAAAATTATAAAAAAAAAAAAAAGTCAACGTCAGAGACCGGCGGTCAATGGTGGTCAACGCCGGAATCTGGCCGGAAAAAAAACATTTCAGAAAAAAAAATATTTTCTGAAAAAAAAAATTTGGGGGGTTAATGTGATATATTTGTTTAAATCCGGGGTCAATGTGTAATATTAAGGAAGTTAGAGCATAATGGGCGGAATTGATAAGAATTAGGGTTAAAATTGGGGTCAAAATTGAAATTAGGGTTAAAATTGGTTAATTGATTAAATTGGGCTAAATTGTGGTGTAAATCATGAAATTGGAGTTGAATTGGGTTTTAATGAATTGGGGGTAATTTTGGTATATATAAAATGATTTTCCTTATTTGCAAATAAGTTTGAATGGGGTGGATTAATTTGAAAGACAAAAAAGTTGAATGTCCCTCTTTTAATTAAGTGCCCTTGTCATGGGCCTATTTGGCATTATATATGTAATGTAATATATGGAAGTTACATGCACTTAAAATTCTTAACTAGAGTAAAGAAGTTTTAAACTTAAAATACCTACAAATTAGGGAAACCTAATGAACCATTTTTTCATATTAAAATGACCGCGTGTCAAGCAATCAGTGGAATCCATTTTTCTTATTTAAATAGGGGATCGTTCCAAATTTGCTCCCATTTACTTTATATGTTTTGCATCCACGTAAAAAATGTACATATAATTTCTAATTTTGATTCAATTTTAATTTTCAAAATAATTTATAATTCCTAATTTTCATAAAATTAATATGTATTAAAAAATAAAAATAGAATAAGAATTGTAGGACATTAGTATTATTTTTAAATGTCTAGTAGACAGAAATTAAATGTATTATTTATAATAGGGTTTTAAATTGTTATTTTTCAGAAGTTAAAATATCGTGATATCATAAGTAGAAAAATGGTTTTTTACTACGATCATTGACCGTAGTAAAATGTATCAAATTCGCACTAAAAAGGCGTTTGCTACGCATTTGCTACGAATTTGCCCCGTATATGGCTGTACCAAATATTTTTTTGCTACAGTAAATCCTAGTATTTACTACGCCTTCAAAATTGTTCCATAATAAAAAGTACCTTTTATTACAATTTTTTACCGTAGCAAAAAATTTCGTAGTAATAAGTAAATTTTCCAGTAGTGTATATTGATTTTTGTGCTTAAATATCATAAGAAATTGATCTAGGGTGCATTGTGCCATAAGAAATATAAATTAAGAGATGATATTGCCAGTTTTGAAATGTGATGGTGCAAAGCGCCAATTAAAATTAATTATGGGGTGCAAACGCTAAAATACGATTCATCAAATAAATAAATAATTTTGGACTTGTGGATGACAGATTGATTTTATTAGTATAGAGTCATATCTTAATTAATACGTTTATATTTTTTATAAATCAAATTATATTGATTTAAATTAGAAATATAAAAAAATATTTTCCTCTTCCTATATGTGGTTTGAATTTTTTAAATCGTTAAATACTCCCTGGCTCATAAACTAGTTTATAGATTTTTTTTTTTAAATAAAGAAAAAAGATACAGAAAAAACTTCCCAAACATGCCCAAATTTTCACCTTCTTGTGTTGTGGAATACATGTGTTGTCGATACATGTGTTGTGCATCCAATATGCGTAATGATGCATAAGTGATTTTAAGTAGAGGGATGGAGTAGTATATGGTGATAGTTATCTATATCAATTACCAGGGTAATCTAATGTATTATATTGAAGAGTTGTGAACTTGTGAATGCAATCAAATGTTTTGGGTGCATCATTATATTATTAATACAAATTAAATACACGTGTGTATGCGTGTGGGTCAGAGCGTGCTAACAAAATATCATCCTTATATTATGAATTCAAAAAACAAAACATAATTCACTTCCATCTTAAGACTTATTAAATAAATAAAAATTTCAACATAAATAAGTTTGCCAATTTTCCCAAAAACTAAAAATAGATTTAAAAGTCTAGAGCCTAGAATTAATAAAAAGACTTAAGATAGTAGCAGAAAACTAAAACCATACAACCTCGACATAAATTACTTTGAGTTCCCTCCGTTTGTTTTCTTTTTACGGGCAGTGATAATTACTTCATGGTCCCATAGTTTTTTGGACAACTCATAAATATCGGCTTCGTGGGTGTTTGATGCAAAATGACGGAAACCTCCTTTCTCCCTAATTCTTCCGAATTTCAGTTTCATCCGACGTAACTTTTCAGTTATTTGATTCTTAGTGAAGTGGGGAAGATGACCATTCATGAAGATGTGAAAGGCAACCCAATCATGGATTCTTTTGCGGATCCAAAAATGGTCAAGACCAGCAAGGAGAATGAGTTCTTCTTGTTTTGAAAAGAGGTCACCAATTTTCTTCTTCTTCTCGTTAGTTTTGGAGGACTCACCTTCTCCATTGGTTTCGAGCATTTCTATCTCTTTTGCTACGTCTTTTGGTTCAACATTCGTGGCAACGCATTTTTCATCAGATATTCCCATCTGATTTTCTTCTGGTTCAACATTTGTGGGAATGTTTTTTTCATCAGATATCACCATCTGATTTTCTTCTGGTTCAACATTCGTGAGAATGCTTTTTTCATCAGATATCACCATCTGATTTTCTTGACTCGGAGCGTCATTTTCTTGACTCGGGTATTGCTTTGTGTTTGTCAGTTTGTGTTTGTGTTTGTGTTTATCATAGTAACAACAAGTCAGTTATAAATAAAGCTGAAATTGGAGGGAATTTGAAACACCACCCGCCATTTTTTTTCACTTTTTTCCCCA